AGAGATAATGAAGAAAGGTGACCAAATAGGTGAAGTATTTTATTAACTCAATTATACTTACCTTATATTCTTGAAACTCCAATGAAGAAAGCTCAGTGCTTAAAATTCTGTACTTTTGCCAATAAATTCAACTTAGATTTCTACTTTTTCTAAGATACAGTCTACTTCCAAGTGAATAGGCTTCAAACGTGTCATAATCTTCATCATTTTTCTATCCCCTGAGGAATATTTTATCAGTATTGGCTAGAAAGCAACTGAAATACTGTCTTCTGTTTGACTTTACCTAAATGATAATTCACAGATCCATTGGATTGTTGCCCAGACAATAGAAAATAAAATCAAAAATAAAGCAAAAATAAAATCAAAAAATAAAGCAAAATGGTACTACTATCTTAGAGGGATGTAAGTGAATTTGCAGGTAAAATTAATAAACATTAGATGAAATGGAACAAATTCCACCAGCACACATTTATTGCATTTAACAAGGGGTGTGTTTTTGGCTTACCCTCTCTATCCTATGGAATTCCAGCAAGTTAAACTTCTCCAACTGGCAAATTATCAGTGTTGATGTAATGTTGCCTGTCCCCAGACAGCTGAGGTCAGCAGCTCTAGTTCCATTTTTCTTTCCAAAGGATAGCTAAAGAAACATTCTTTGAACAAGTGTAATATGTTTGTTACGTTTCAAGAAATTTTGTTCACATTTTCCTCTATAAGTTCTGTTTAGTGTTCCATGATTTCTGTAGATTTGATTTTTTTGGAGACCAGCAGCTAATTATAGTAAAAAAGAACAAATGTTCAAACTAGCCCAGAATAGACTAAAAAGGGTCCATGGATCTGATGTTCCAGAAAAGAAAATCTCACCTCATGTGTGTACAGAGTTTAATCCGTTCAGGCATTATTTAATTAACCAATTGATATTCACTATTGGAGAGTTTCTCCTTCTTCATCTTCTTGACTTGTAAACAGGTAATTTATTCAACTGATATGTGGGATAATTCTTTGACAAGTCTTTTAAAAAAAATTGAGACCTTATATGCATAACTTTGTAACCTTATTCTCCTGACAATATATCATGGACATCCCTCTAAATCAATAGCAAAAGTCTAGCTCGTTATTTTTAATACCAGCAAAATATTCTATGGTATGGATATACTATAATTTTCAACCAGTCTATTGATGAATACTTGGGTTGCTTTCAGGTTTATTTTCCTCTAATAAGAAGAAAATTAATATTTTGTACATATGTCTTTACACATGGGTACTTTTGGTTCTATAGGATAGATTTCAAAATGTAAGACCAATGGATGAAAAGATATATATCTTTATTAACATATTTCTCCATATAGATATATATAGTAATATTTTCCTATATGGAAGTATGAATACTGCCATATTTACTTTATATGTTTTTTTAATTTTTGATTTTCTCATGAAAGCATTCTTTAGCACTCAGAAACAACAAAAAATTATGCCTTTGCCTTACCTAGAAAATTTCAACCCAGAAATGAAATATGTCCAAAATAAAACTCTTTTTAATTCTTACCATGTTATATCAGGGATAATTTTCTATACTTTTTTAGCATTCCATCTTCTAATTTTTTCTTCATATTTGTGACAGAATAGCATGAGAGTATTGTCTACCACAAAAATTACAATATTTGCAGATTCAGTTGCAACATCAATAGAACAAAACATTACTAATCATATTTGTATTTAGATCATTTACAAAGAATCATTTGTCCCTGAAATTTTATAGTAAGCCAAATCTATCATTTTCTTTGCTTATTTTCAAATGTTAATCTAGTTATTGAGCCAGCAAGATTTTTGTGAATTACTGCTATAATATACAATATTCATCATGGGCCTGTTCTGAAATAAAGGTGAGAATTTTTTTTAATACTTTTTGTCTCTGAGCCAATGGTTTACTGGTCAGTCCCTCAAATAAAGTTGCTTGACTTATACAGACAGAAAATGTGTCCAGTTGACACAGAATATTTTTAATAAGAAGAAAAAAGAGAAACCCTAGAATCTAGAAAAGACCATTTCTTTTTTATTCATTGATCATCAACATAATGTTATTTCATTTAATTCATAACAACATATGAGATAAGTATTTATTGGCTTCAGTATTTCTATACAACTGGAGTGGGATTTTGACTTAATATGAACCAAGGACTTTGGTCTACTTTTGGAGAGGGAGGGGGGACATTTCAGGGCCTGCTGACCTAGTCCTTCTTATGAGGTTGACATTTCTCTCAGAAGCTCTGATGGTTCTAAGCAGAACTACCTTCCATGGAACAGTTTTCAGCCTCAGACTTCATCCTCTTATTACAGAAGGTATTTTCTAACCTAGTATATTAAAGCCATTCAATAAAATCTAAATCAATTTCACATTACCTGCTAGGTGCATACTTTTCTCTCCTTTAGTTTCTTTAAATCTAAGGCTTATTTGGGAAGCTAATACCATTTTTCTTTGAGTTTTCCAAAAGGCACACAGAAAAACACCTTAATTCTCTCCTGCTTCATAAATTAATTGTTCATAGGGGAAGGGGATTGGGGAGGGGCAGTAACATTCCAGTCCTTACTATGTTAAATTAAGATTCCACTTGAATATATTTTTCACTAGTAATTCTAGAAATTTTTCAACAGTGGAAAATTTAAGCAAGATTCACGTTATTTTAAGAGACAACACATTCACTCTCTTGCACTGTCATGAAATACACCGACTTTTGTAGTTTAATATGTAAAACTGTAGGTAGAGAGGATTTTTTTTTTTTCTTAATATGGTGGCTTACTCTAATTCCATCCTATGCATAATTCTTGAATTGCCTAATATTTTCTTTCTCATGGCATTAGGTAGTTTTTAAAGTATTGACATCTGTGAAAACACAGCCTCACTCTTTCTAAAAATTAATACAGGAGAGGCCTAACTTAGAGAAGTTTGGGCTACACATCTACTGGGAGTTGAAGAATGGAGGAGGAGGCTCTTTGGAAATGTCAAGAGAATCCTTTTCTCATTTCTTCTATTGCCATTCAAGTCTTTGGGGGAGGAAATAAAGCATCATGCAGAGCGTGTAGTTTTTGCAGGTTGAGATTAAGTCTGAACCACTACCTGCTGGTCCTTACACCAGCGTCGCTCCGCAACCCGTCTTTGACGAGATGGGCTGACCATTAACTAAGCTCTGAAGCAACCAACCCTAAACACTTGAAGCTGGTGTCATGCCAGGGCGCCAGGGGCTGGAAGGAAGTTAAACGGCTAAAACCACCGCTGTGCTGCGAGGGGCTTCTAGCCCTTCATCGCTGCCGGATGCACTCAGGCTCTTGCCAAAGTCGCTGATGCCCAGCGAGGGACGTTCCCATACCTGCATGCACGTAGAGTAACCGTGCACACCCACACGCCCCAAATTCAGAAAGCAGCGCACGTGACACCCTCTTGCCCCACGATTCCCTCATTTGGGGCACTTTCTGCAGAGCAGGCAAGCGCTTCCCTTCTTTTTTCTCATTTTCCAAGTTACCAAAGCTGGGACCGGGTGACGCGTGGCTGTGACTCGAGCCTTCCTAGTGTTGCCCGAGGACTCTGAGACACTCTGGCGTGGCCAAGAGAGGCGCAAGCATCTCGCGCTCCTTCGAAGCTATCGGAGAGGACAAAGAGGGTCCGAATCCGAGTAAAGAGTCAGCGGGCTGCGAGGAGAAGGGTTCTCGGGCTGCCTGTGAGTGCCATAGAGGACAGTACCGGGGAACTCCGCGCCCTCCCTTTCCCCGGGTGCGCTCACCATTTGTAGCCTCTGCCGCGCTTGAACTTGAGGGTGAGAGCAGTCTCCAGAAGGAGCAAGAGGTTGAGCAGCGCGAGCAGCCAGTACCTTGGCTCCTTCTTCACCTCGGTCACTCGCCAGACTCCAACCAGCGAGTGCAGCACGAACAACAGCCGCGTGGCCAGGGCGTTGAACAGGATCAGTCCCTCCATGCCGGCCGGCACCTTCTGCCCTCCGCCCCTCACGCGCGCGGGGCAGACCCCGCCAGGAGCACCCCAGCCCGCCGGTGGGCGGGAACGTGCCAGCTCCAAGACCTGCGGCTGCTGTCGTCTCTCCTCACCCTCCCGCGCATTTAGACCAGGAGAGAGCGTCTCGCCCCTCCCCCAAACTTCCTGAGAACTCGTCAAAGTGGAGAAAGAGAATCTAAATCCAGCTTTTCTAGACTGCTGGGCTTTCCCGGGAGTCTCGGGCTCGACGCCCGTGCTCCTGGGCGTTATTCTCCAGCGCTGCCCATCCCCCTCCCAATCCCAGGAGCCAGCCTCCCTCCCTAGGCCTCCATGGAGTCCCTCCAAGAACTTCCTCACCCCAAGAGAATGGAAAGAGGAGGGAGATGGACTGAAGGCCAAGGTGTTGCATAGATAGATGCTACTCATCTGTGGCATCTCCTCCTTGATTTTCCACTGAAGTACTTTAATTCACACTTCCCCCCCCCACCCCCCCAGGAACTGGGCTCTCATGGTGACTAAGCTGGGAAGGAGGAGGGCCAAGGAATTCGCTGTCCAAGCAGTTTTAGAAATGCGGTTCCTGCACACTTTTCAAGAATTAAAACTTCCCAGAACTAGAGGAAATCACACACGCTGGGCTTTCATAGAGCTCCCTGCATTCATTTAGTGAAAGAGTTGCCCAGGTCACTTCTACGCTTTGGGCACAATGTTATTAAAGCAAAAGATATTCTTTATTATGTCACCCCCCACCCTCATTCCACCACCTCTTCCAGTTTTTGTTTTTGTTTTTGTTTTCTGTTTTTTTTCCTGAAAGCATATAGGGTAGCAGGACAAGACTGGCAGAGGGACAATTGAGGGAGGAGATAAAAGACAGAGTTAGGAGTTTGATTAGGAGAAATTCATGGAGCAGGAACTGCACCTTGAGGTCAATGACTAATAAATTAAACTCCAGTCTTTCCAGCATCCAAAGCAGAGAGGAAACTGAAGTCAGGCTTTCCCAAAATATCTTCATGATTTTTGTTTTCATGTTTGGTCTCCTACCACCTGTACCACTATTTATTTAACATTATAGTAGGCTACAGATGGAAGGTAATTACAAAAATAAACAAAATGGATCTAAGTTTCGAAAATCTTGCTAGATATTAATTACTTTGCTTTCCAAGGCTTTGTGCCGCAG